TTCATTCCACGCCACCCCCTGGTGGTCACCACACGTCATATTAGCGGTTGAACTCCCTGTCTTCTGGTTGAACTCCCAAGGGGACAATTTGCATATTAGCCTTTTATTATATAGGATATCAATGGAGAGCTAGAATTTAGCATATTAAAAACAGGCACAAAAGAAGGATGCCTACTCTCTATATCTTTGTTTTTTGTTTTTGTTTTTCTGGAGTTACTGGCCAAGACAATCAGCCAAAAGAGAGAGAATAGTGTATAATATTAGAAAGAAGGACATAGAATTAGCGTGGTGGCCTTTACTGTATTTGTTTTCAGTTTTAAATCCCTTCTTTCCTTATTGTTTCTTTGTTCTCTTAAGCCAAAGTTTTGTTTCATTTTTGTTTTCCTTTTGGAGAAAAATTAAATTGTTATCTTTAATGCAGGTCCCAAACATTAGAGTATTTTTTATTTTTTATTCCTCTAGACTACAGCATAGTATGTGGTTTCCAGCTCTTCTTGGCTGTCTGTGTATCCCATGGATCTTTTCTACTCAGAATTCCTCCTCTCCATGTTTTAAATAAAAGAAGTAGATGAGTGTGTGTGTGTGTGCACACATGCCAGTTCTCAATTGGGTACTTTTTAAATTACATAGTATGAATTCAAACTGCTGGGCAGTTATTTTTAATACCTTTTTCTACTCATAATAGAAGAGAGGAAAGAGATTTTACAGCCTTGGTTTATTTATTATCATTTCGGTAACCAGGAGTGTGTTTTTCAGCTTCAGTGCCTCTACATCTCTTTGAGAGGTTGAAAATAAACGTTGCTCTGGGACCAGTTAAGCCTTATTTACACTTCTGTTACTGAAGCCTCATTTAAAATAATTTTATGTATGTGTACCAAAGTCAGATTATTGGCACCAGATTTCCTTGTAAATATTAATCATTTATTTTTAAGATATGTATAAATGAAGATTATTATAGTTTTCCAGGAAGAATTGGTTACATATAGAACTTATTTTTATTTTAACTGACTTTTTCTGCTTACAAATGCAATTATAGAAAACAAATGCTTATGGACACATACTTTACACTATTTAATAGAGCATAAATATATATACAATTTGAAATGTTCCTTTTTCTTAATGCTGCATTTTAAATATTTTAGCATGTCATTCTTTTTAGGGATCTTACTTTTGAATAATTGCATTTTTTTTCATATGAAATTAATTTCAGAGTCTCCCTTTCTCTCCAGACTTTGTTACTCCTAATTCCTTCCTGCTCACAACTCCTTCCATTTTTGTGGTCCAGGGGAGAAAAATGAAGTGCACTTTTTTTTTTTTTACATGGTTGAGTCTTCAAAGGGACATGTTTAGTTAAAATAAATGAGATTTTGCCAATATGGCTGTACATAATATTTAATAATAGGTGCTAGTTTGCCTTATTGCTGATAAACCACATCTTTGGTTATATATTTGTCTATTGGATTCTAAAATGTTACCTCCCCCCCCCCCCCCCACACACACACACAAAAATTGCCAAACTATATCAGAGTGAATTTTTTCTGGAGTTAAAAAGGGGAAATACAGAGAGTATAATCTAAAGCTCTGCCATGTTATTCAGTATGATAGCCACTAGCCACCTGTGGGTATTTAGATCAGTTAAAATTAAGTAAAAACTTGAGTGCTTCAGGTACACACTCCACAGTTCCTTCATGTGCTCAGTAACCACATGTGAATAGTCCAAATGCATATTGAACAAGCAGGAACAGAACGTTTTCAACATCACAGAAAATTCTCCTAGGCAACCTTGGGGTGAAGTCTATACACGTTACCTGTTTATTGTATTAAAATTTTAAAATCATTTTTGGCTTTTTAATTTTACTTTCTGGTATTATTAAAAAGCAGAATTTCTGTCAATATTTTTGGAAATAGTGAATAGCTCAAAATTATTTAGAGTAATTTTTACTTTTCTATCAGCTTAATTTTTAAAATCATGTACTGAGTAAAATACATAAGAACATAGGATTCCCAGTTAGTAAATTCTAGAACATTTAAAAAAATTCTTGATATAGAAAGTCCGGATGTGGGAAAGGTAAGGGGAGGCTCGTGGATGAGAATCTAAAGAAGACAATGTAGAAAGAGAAACTGATAGTTGTATGTTTTTAATCATCACCTGAGTGTATATTTTTATTGATTTTAGAGAGAAGAAGGGAGAGAGAGAGAGAAACATCAAGGTAAGAGAAACATTGATTGGTTGCCCCAACCAGGAATCAAACCCACAACCTTTTGTTGTATAGACAACACTCCAACCAACGGGGCCACCTGCTAGGGCAATAGTTTACTGTTTTTAAAAGACACTCAGAAACAGAAAATTAAGTGGAGAAATAATGTATTTATTAGGGCAGATAATTTTAGGTTATAATTATGGTATTAATGTAAATTAATCTAGAAAAATTAGGAACCACAGGAAACAAAAATATTAAGAGGGGAGGGGAGGAGAGGAACTGTCAATCCTATTGTCATTGAGAATGGTCAGACTATTAGTCACATATCTATCCAGCCTCTTTTCTTGCCCTTGCAAACAGGTCAGATTCATTCAGCTATAAATGAGGTCAATGGAAAACATGGATGAGATGTGAGTCTGAGTGGCAGGCAGGCAGGGTGCTAAAGAGCTCTGACTCTGAGCCAGATGGCCTGGTGTTTAAATCCCAGCTCCACATTTACTGTTTGTGGACCTCAGCAACCTGTTTCTTTCCTGTATACCTGTGTATCCTGTATAAACTAGAAGCCAGGTGCCTGAATTCGTGCATGAGTGGGGTTTGGCCAGCCCTGCCCCAACTAGTGGATCAGGACTGGGCCTTTTGGGAGGAGGAGACAGCGGCAGGTTAGCCAGAGGGGGCCCACCCCAATCAGGGCCGGGCCAGCTGGCGGGAGGGGCTTGGCCGAAGGGCCAGCTGACCCCGCCCCTGAATGTGGCCAGGGGAGGAGCTGTGGGAGGTTGGCCAGCCAGCTCCACCCCCCCAGCTCCACACCAGTGTGTGTGGGGGGGTCCATTCAGGAGTGGAGCTGGTTGGGGTGAGGGGTCATGGGCTGATGAGGGTGGTGAGTGCTGATTGAAGGTGGGTCCAGCGATGGGGAGGGGCCATGGGTGGTTGGCTGGCCAACCCTGCCCCCTATTGGGGTGGGATAGGCTGATCAGGGGCAGGGCCAGCTGGGGGTAAGGGGTGCAGGGGGAGGGGGGGATGTTGGCCAGTTGCCCCACCTTCGATGTGGTGGGAGAGGCCTATCATGGGTGAGGCCTATCAGCCAGGGGGAGGGGCCAAGGAAAGTTGTCCAGCTGGGCCCACCCCCCATCGGGCGGGTTTGCTGGCTGCAGTGGGTGTCATAGCAACAAGTCATTCTTGTCATTACAGTATTCTGGTCGCTGACTTTTTATATACAGTATATAAATGGGATGATGGAGCTATTTACATTTCATGTTCTTGAGGGTTAAGGTATTCAGAAATTGAATTTATTAAAGACTGTATTACTAACAATACTGATAACTATTAGGTAGGTAATACAGGCACATGGTAGCTAAGACATATAAGCCTCTATATTTATTACTGCAGGAAAGCAGACATTTACATAAACATATAGTTGCAGTAAGGTGGAGGAGTTTATGAGGGGTAAGGTCAGTGATAGTAAATGTTGAGGTAACCCAATTCTTGATAATTAGGGAAAATTTATTTAACTTTTAGAATGATTGGTTTTAAATTATACTGTCAGTTTTTCAAATCAAATCTTACTTTTTATAAATCTGTGTTCTTGAAATTTTGTTTATTACTCAAATGTGATAAATGTTTAACAGTTCTAAGATATTAAGTAAAAGTGTTGTCCTGTCATTCTGATAATATCTTAAGTGTCAGACTTCTCTACTTGATGCTTTGCATTATGTACTGGGCTGCCACAATGATAATAAAATCCTCTCTTCGCAGTAGCATCTGGGTATTCAAAGTGAAATCGATCTTCCAGACTTTTTACAAAAAAAGTTTGGTTAAGCTTTGAGTATATTTAAAGAGTGTATCACTTGATACTTACTAGAAACGAGAAATTGAGAGGTTCAACAATTTTTCATATTGTATAGTAGGGGGCAGTTTGGTCAAACATAAATAAGAGACTAACCTAAGTTTTCAAGTATAATATTTTAAGTGTAAAAGCTGAGATAGATTAAACAAGTGCCAGTTGTTTTGTGTTTGTCAAAGCATCTTTCATTTCTAAACTACAGTACTAAAATTTTCAAGGAATTCATCTTATAATGCTTTACAATACTTTTCCCTTTGTGTTAATTGAGTAATGATAATGGAAAGTTAGGTTCAAATTATTTTTTATTTATTAATATAATTTTACTTGTTTTCCATTATGGAAAATTATTTAAGCTAACTAGTTGTAAGAAATGTCTCTAATTGTGAGAAATCCCATTGTTTCTTAGAAATTTGAATTTTGAGGGTGAAGTTGGCAATTTGAAAACAAAACAAAACAGTAAGTAAAAGGAACAGCGTGTTCCTGGAGTGCCTCACAGGCCCCTCAGCGCCCGCTGCCATTCTCCCGGTGCTCAGTGCATCCCAGCAGTCAGGATGTGGCTGCCAGATGACTGCTTTCCTTTAATCACAATTTATGTTTTTAACAGGAATATAAACTACAATCAATGCTTGGAGTATTGAAGCAATGTGTTTAAGAAATTAAACGTTTTAGTTAGCCAATGTTTGTTTGGGGGGAGGGTTGGGGGAGGCGAAGAAATCCCACAAAAGGTGTAGTTTCCGTGTGGGTCCTATTTGATGATGATTTTATTTTCTGTTTGACTTCGTGTTATAAACCCTGGACCATAGTAATAGATGAATTATGTACACATATTTGTCATCTATAGAACCATTCATTTTTTTTGTTTAGAATGTTCAATGATCAGTTTCTATTTGCAATGATAAAAATAGCTATCTCAGATGTTTGCTCGCAGTTGAACTTATATTAATTTGCTTTTCTTCCAGATTTATGAAAAACTGCACTACTATGAGAGGCAGAACCCGGTGCCCATCCTCCAGAGCGCAGCAGCCTTGGCGGATGATGTAAGTGTGCCCTTCTGAGATCACTGGGACAGATTTGCCACCGGCTGGCCGCAGCAGAACTTACCCTAGTGCAGACAGATGCACACGATACTATGAGTGAAAACCAGAGTAGTTGCAAATGTTTCCAATCGTCCTGTCATCACAGAGCTTATGCTGATATTATGCTTATTTTCACTCTCCTGTTTTAAAAATGTTGCATGTAGATACCCTCTTGTTCTGCCTTGGTAACTACGTAATATAAATTTTAGGCTGTAATTCTCTGGGGGAGAGAGAAGCTGTCAGCTATTAGTGTACGCAGAAAGTCATAGACAAGAGGAATGCTTTGGAGAAATAAAGACAAATGAGATAGCTCTTTTGCTGACAGTACTAAAAAATGACAGATACTAGTATAGGAATGAGGCATAAGAAATACATAAAAAGACAGGATTGTTTTTAAAATGGATTATAAAGCATAGTAATGATTTATGGGTATTAGGCCTTTCCAAATTACCTTCATAACCAAAGGATAAATTTTAGAAGCAGCTGGCATTGATGGAGTAGTTAATTTCCTGTAGCTATAATTTTATTTTCAATCTGGGGTAAGGAACTAACTTGCTGTTTCTTACTGTTAACTTTCGGACTTGGATGAATTGAGAGCACACCTGGGTAAACTGTAAGGGACACTAAGCTAGATGAGAAATATGTTTAGTGTGAGGGCTGGTTTTGGTGATCTCCTGCAGCTAATTTTTTGCTTTTTAAGTTTTTACTTTGTTATGTTAAAACCAATTATAATTCAGTTTAGTAAAATATCAGGGCCAAAATTATAATTTTAAAAATGGCCATCTTCAGATGTTGATTTTTTAATGTATTTTATATTTCTAATTTATAAAATAAAGCATGTAATAAATCTCTAAGTTGTGGGTTATTTGTTTAGTTCCCAAACATTTTTCCTTCCATTTTGAATCTATAGAAATTACAAATTACAAGGATATTTCAGTATATGTGTTTTATAAGGAAGTTTGCCTCTGCATTATAGAACCAAAACATTTAAAGGGAAGATGAATAAAAGTGTAGATAGAGTTCTACAGAAAGCTGCATTTGCCACTTGAGAAAGTAAAATTTGAAAACATTTACTGTTGAAGGTTTGGAGAAATATTTGTTTGTAAATCAATATAATTGAGGCCCAATTATATTATGATAATTTGCTTATAAAAAATTAGAGACCAATATATAAATGTGGTATAATAGTAATTTACCCGATCAATATTGTTATATATTAAGTGACCAGAGTGCAAAGAGCCCTTTGCAACTTTTTATAAGCTAATTCTATAAAAATGTTACCTTAAAAAGTAAAAACCACTTTTTGAAATGTAATAAATGAATATACCAATTTTATTGGATTTTATTTTGTGTGTGTAATTTATATGTCATCCTTCTTTTAGAGAAAAGTCCTTTTCCAGAGATAAAAATAGGACAGATTTTATGCAATGTTTTAAGAAAGGTTTTAAAATTAAAATATATGTATATAGTTTTAAATTTGTATTGTATATTTTGTAATTTTAATATTTTTTATATTTGAATCTTGCTTTTCTTCTTATGAAACTTATATGACCCTTCCTATAGCCTAATATTGAATAGAAATGTTGATAGGAAGATCTTAGTTAAGAATATGAAGCAGGTTTAAAGCTCTAGTCCTTGCTTTAACTAGAACCAGCAAATGTGAATTGTTGACCATTGTAATAGAATATAGTCAGTGTTTTTGGCACTGGAGCAGTTGTCAACCTATTATAAGTCATTTTATGATTAACCTGGTTTATATTTAGCAGACTCCATAGTCTGTATAGGTAAACATAATAAAAGTTTTGGACCTTTGCCTTATTAGAGGCATTCTAATTCTTTTTACCCAGATCTAAACAGCAAGCCACCATGGGTTTTTGGAAACCCTGTGGGTTTCACCACCTCGTTCAGAGCTCCCCCCCTCCCCCCCCCCGTCCCCCGCTTCTTTCTATTTTCTTTCTTTCTTTCTTTTTTAATAGTGTCAAAGTTTAATCCAGTACGTTTTACAAGTAGTCCTTTGTCTGCATGCAAAAGGCCATTTTGGTAGATGAAGTGCCGTGGTTTGCCCTCATTGCAATAAATCAGAAGGTGATCTGGCTGATGTGATTCCTTGGGCTGCACTTAGCCAAAGGGCTGGGCTGAGATCTGGGCTAGCAAGGGTCTAAAAAGGAAAGCAATGATTGATATACCGTTTTATTTCATGCTGACTTTTCCTTAATCTCTGTCAGTCCACAAGATAGATCTGTAGTGGGCACACATGAAACTACATGATGCTCTTATTAAATATTCTTTATGTCAATGTGATCTCTCTTGCAGCTGGCTGAAGAGCTGCAGAACAAGCCATTAAATAGTGAGATCAGAGAGCTGTTGAAACTACTGTCAAAACCCAATGTGAAGGTGAGGACATGCGATGAATATCTTCCAAAGGTCACCTCAGATGAATTTTACTCTGAGCTTCAATTTTCAAGTAAATTCATTTTTAGTAAGTGCATAGTATTTTAATAGACTAAATCTCATTAAGAAAAAGAGGTGAGCTTTTAATGATAATGTTGTGACAAATTATAAAATACACTAATTGGGAAGCTCTGAAGGTAGCTTCAAGGTTATTTTCCTTTTTAATGAAGTTATGAGTACAGAATACAGAACCTATTAGTGATTTGGTATATGTTCATTTTACTAGTTAAAGATATTGCAATATATTTCGCAATTATATATTTTCCTGGATCAGTTTAACATTCCTCTTCCTCCTCCCCTCCCCTCCCCCCCCCCCGCCTTTGTCCACCTGTATCCTGTCCTTCTACCAACTATTTTATAAAGTAGAGCAGAGTTCAGTGTAAATACAACTATAATATTGGTAATATTTTAATTCTTTTTGGCATTTTTCTCCCATGCTTGTCACTTATTTTCCCTCTAACTGTGATTAGTTAATATAAGGCATTTAAAAAATTTCCTACTAATTTTATGGTACAAAATGCACTAAATCCCAAAAGTGCTATATACTCACTTGACTCTACTACAATTGTATATAAAATATTGTTCATGAGTCAAAATTACATATAGGTTGCATAATATCCTATCTAATAAAGAAGTAACATGCTAATTGACCCTCATGCCATTGAAAAGATGGCGGCACCCATAGCCAATAAGGAAAGAATATGCAATTGCTGCCCCACCCTCAAATATGGCAGTACCACAGCCAATAAGGTGGGACTATGCTAATTGACTGTCACATCCTCAAAGATGGTGGCACCCTCAGCCAATAAGGAGGGAATATGCTAATTGACTGCCACACATCCAAGATGATGGTATCCAGTCCCCTCAACCCCAAGGCACAGGAAAGCCTCAGATGTAGGCTGCCCAGTCACCCAGGGCCAGCTTGAGGTGCAGGCAAGCCTTGGATGGCGCTGCCCAGCTACACAAGGCTGCCCAAGGCTCAGGTAACCAAAGCTTGTGCTGACAGCAGTGACAGCAGCAGAGGTGTGATAGGGTGTCGCCTTCCCCTGATCACTGGGTTGCCTCCTGCCCTTGAAGGCTCCTGGACTGTGATAGGGGGCAGGCCAAGCTGAGAGACCCCCCCTCCAGTGCATGAATTTTCATGCACTGGGCCTCTAGTATATAATATAAATAATTAGTTATGGTGATTTCTGATAAGCTTATATAGACTGTTGAATGAAAATATCTTCCTTAATACAAAAACCAGTTTCTACCTTCCTTGAAAAATCTCCATTGGAACTGTGCTATATGTGTCTTAAATTTATTTTCAAAAAAATAAAGGTAGCAGAGTATCAAGATGATGATGTAGCTAAGTGCTATACTCATCTCCTCCATCAAAATTACAACTAAAATGCAGAACAACCATCATTCAGAACTGCCTGAAATCAGGTTGAATGGAAGTCCTACAACTGGAGAAATAAAGAAGAAGCCACATTGAGACTGGTAGGAGGAGCAGAGGCATGTAATGGGCTACTCTGACACCCATGTGTAGCATTTTTTAATCAGGCAGGATATCTGGGCTACAGAGGCCTCCTATAAGGAGCAAGTAGTTTCAGCCTCACTCTAGACCCCTCAGCCTAGGGTTCCAGTGCTGAAAAGAGAAGTCTCGCTAACTTTGGGCTATAAAAACCAACAGGAATTGTGGCTGGGTGACAGGGAGGCTAATGGAGATCCAGGCAGTTCCTCTTAAAGGGTCCACACAGACTTACTAGGAGGTCCTCACTGTGAGCGCCAGTGCTGGAGTAGCAGCTTGAAAGGACCCAGCAAAATATGGAGAGGGACTAAATTGTGTGGCATCTGAGCAAGAGCTGTGGGGCAGCTGCTTTGGAGATAATAAACTCCTCTAGCCTTTTTTTTGTCTGGGAAGCTCTTTATTTCACTATTTGTTTTGAATTATAGTGTGGCTGGATAGAGTAGTCTTGGTTTCAGATCCTTACCTTTCATTAGCTTGAAAACTTCACAGGCAATCTCTTCTGATCTATAGTGTTTCTGTTAAGAAATCAGCTGAGAGCCTTATGTGAGCTCCTTTGAAGGTAACTATCGATAGTTGCTTTTCTCTCATTGCCTGTAAGTTTCTCTTTCATTTTTGGCATTTAAATTATGATATATTTTTATATCAGTCTTATTGTATTCTTCTTGCTTGAGAGTCTGTGCTTCTGGAACTTGTGTGACTTTCCCTTCACCAGGATATGGAAATTGTTTGTGATTATTTCTTCAAACAGGTTCTCTATTCCTTGGTCACTTTCTTCTCCTTTTGGCATTACTATAATATTAATATTGTTATGTTTCTTGTAGTCCCTGTTTCCTTAATTTTTTTTCTTAATAATTTTTTTTTCTTTTTGGTTCTCTGGTTGACTGATTATTTTTCTAACCTGTCTTGTATTTTGCTGATTTTATTCCTGCATTTTTATAATTTGCTTTTTATTTCTTCCAGTGAATTCTTTATTTCTGTTATGTCATTCTTCATTTTTGACTGGTTGTTTTTTTTTTGTGTGTGTGTGTTTTTTTTTTTTTAATAATTTCTGTGTTACTTTTCATGCTGTTGAGCATTCTTATAATCATTACATTGAACTTTATGTTTAATAAATTGCTTATCTTTATTTAGCTCTTCTTCTGGAGGATTCTATTTTTCTTTCATTTGAGCCTTCTTTATCTCCTCATTTTGGCTCCATTTTAATGCTTGATTCTATTTATTGTTATGTTTCCCAGTTCTGGTGGGCTGGCCTTCTGTAGTGGGACTCCATAGTGCAGTCCTCTTGGTATTCTGAGATGACTGGTGCTCTGGTAATGTCCCTTGTATAGATTATTGGGGCTCTCCTATTATAATTTGATCCTGATTTCTGTTGTCCTTTCTCTGGGTACTCTTGATCTTCATGTATGAGGTTCAAACCCAGCCATCTTGTGTCAGCTGTTATACAGGTTCTGACATAATAAGACAAGACAAAAAAAGGACAAAATTGAAAATAGCATACACACACACACACAATAAAATTAATCACAAGAACCAAAACACCACCAACAACAAGAAAACATAAGAAAAAAGAAGAGGAGGAAAGGAATATAAAAAAGAATACTATATAGAAAAACCAAGATGGTGGCCTAGGTAAGCACCTAAGCGGCCGCTTCTCACAACAATTTCAAAACAACTAAAAGACAGAATGGACATCATCCAAAACCACAGGAAAGCTGGCTGACTGGGAAATCTACAACTAGAAAGAAGGAGAGAGGCTCAGGGATCAGGAAGACACAAAGCACTGAGGTAGGGAGACGCTTGTGCAGAGAGGAAGGATTGCTGAGTGCCTGGCTGGCTGGAGGGGAAAAGAAGCCTCCGTCTGCGCTGAACCCCAACACTGGATGAAACCACGTAGGCCCAGGCTCATATGGGTGGAGTCTGGAATGTAGAGAAAGGCATCTGGAGACTCAGAGACTGGGAGATTTGGGGGAGTCTGGAGCCACAGAGGGCAGGGTCTAGAGGTGCTCCTACTTGTGTGAGTGAGTGTGCCCAGAGAGGTCTAACTGCAGATGTTGCCACAGTCTCTCCACAGTAGAAGGAGTCAGAAGCTCCAGACTGCACTGAATCATAGTACCTACTGCACTGGGATTAAAAATATTATACAGAGATCCAACCCAGTTCTGGGCGAGCCCCTGGGACACCCATGCTCTTACAAGGGGAATCTGGACTGTCTAGTGGAAACCCAGGGGATCCTTGGAAGGCAGAGGTCTGAGGTGAGCCCACAAGGGCAGGGCTTGATGGAAAGCCAAGACTGTCATCTCAGCCCTGAGACTGCCCCATCCAAGCTGAGCACAGAGGCTGTTGCAATTTTGCAAGTCTGATCCTATAAGATTGTCTCCAATATAGAAGGTATCCTGGCATAAACATAACTGATACATCCAATTGGCCTGGAGGTCAGTTTCTCCCAGTGATACCAACAACAATCAAGACTTAACTATAACAAGGCTGTACACACAGTCCACAAGGGGAGAACCAAGAGTGTCTACCTCAGGTAATTGGGGAGGCTTACCCATTGGGCCATATAGGACACCAAGCACACAAAGCCACCCTACCAACTCAGGGAAGCAGCAAAAATTCTAAGACAAGGAAATAAATCACAAACGAAAGAAATGGAGAACAAAAGACTGGATATAAAGTTCAAAACCACAGTTATGTTTTTCAAGAATTTTCTAGAAAAGGCTGATAAATTTAATGAGACCCTCGAGGATATGAAGAAGGACCAACTAGAAATTAAACATACACTAACTAAAATAAAAAATATACAGAGACCCAACAGCAGACTAGAGGAACACAAGAATCAGTCAAAGATTTGGAATACAAAGAAGCAAAGGACACTCCTTTGGAGAAGCAAGAAGAGAAGAGAATACAGAAGTTTAAGGTAGTGTAAGGAGCCTCTGGGACAACTTCAAGCATACCAACATCTGAATTATGGGGTGCAAGATATTAAAAACCTACTTGAAGAAATAATGACAGAAAGCTTACCCCACCTGGTGAAAGAAATATACTTACAAGTCCAGGAAGCGCACAGAACTCCAAACAAAAGGAATCCAAAGAGGACCACACCAAGATACATCATAATTAAAATGCCAAGGGAATAAGAAAAAGAGAGAATCTTAGAAGCAGCAAGCAAAAAACAGTTAGTTACCTATAAGGGAGCATCCACATGATATTAGCTGATTTATCAAAAGAAACTATGCAGGCCGGAGGAGAGTGGCAAGAAATACTCAAAGTGATGAATAACGAGAACCTACAACCAAAATTACTCTACCCAGCAAAGTTATCATTCAGAATTGAAGGTCAGATAAAGAGCTTCACAGATAAGAAAAAGCTAAAGGAATTCACCACCACCAAATCAGTATTATATGAAATGCTGAAAGGTATTCTTTAAGAAGAGGAAGAAGAAGAAAAAAGTAAAGATAAAAATTATGATAAACAAATATATATCAACAAGTGAATCTTAAAAATCAAGTGAATTAAAAATCTAACAGAATAAAATGGTGAAGTAATTGAATCAGGGACAAAGAAATGGAGTGGATTCATAATTATCAGGGGAAAGGGGTGTAGATGGTGCAGGAAGAGACTGTATTAAAATCATATACCTATGGATGAAGACAATGTGAGGGAGGTAAGGGCAGAGGGTGGGGTGAGAACTGGGTGGAAGGGAGCTATAGGGGGGAAAAGGAGAAACAATTGTAATAATCTGAGCAATAAAGATTTATTAATTTTTTTAAAAAGGAATACTATAATACAATAGACCAAAAGAATTAGAGCAAGAAGAAGGAAATGAAAAGAGAATGTGAACATAAAGAAGGTAGAGGAAAGAAAGGACAAAAAATAAGTCTAGAAGAGAAGATAAAAATATGTATATGTGAAATAATTTCAAAAGGCAATAATACTGAATAATGTGAACTAGGAAGAAAAAAAGAAAAGGAAATAAAATTTTTTTTAAAAAAAGCAAAGGAAAAGAATAAATGGAGAAGAAGAAAAAGAAATAGGGATGTAAGAGGGGAAAAAAAGCATAAACAGAATGGAATCTAAATAATTTAGATTATATTCAAAGTAATAGTATAAAATTAAAAAGAACAGCAGAACAAAAAATGGAGTTTGGCTCTGCAATTTTTGCTGCCTACTGTACATTCACCCTTTGGATCTGCTATTGTGAGGCTTGCTGGGTTTTGCTGGGTAGTCGTCTGACCCATTGGTGTGTCAGTCACAGGCCTCTAGGTAGGTTTTCTGGTGCAATCAATGTCAGTTACTATCCCTTTCTGTTTGGTATGTTTGTTTTGGTATCCTGCTACATTGCCAAACCCTGCTACAGTGGGTTTTTTTGGTGGAGTATTTAGGATTTTTCTATGTACAATATCATGTCATCTGCAAATAATGAAAGTTTTACTTCCTCTTTTCCAATTTGGATGCCTTTTATTATTTATTGTTTTTTTTTTTTTTTTTTTTTTGTCTGATCGTAGTGGCTAGCACTTTCTGTACTATATTGAATATGAATGGTGAAAGCAGACATCCCTATCTTGTTCCTGTTTTCAGGGAAAATGATTTTAGTTTTTTCCAATTGAGTATGATGTTCGCTGTACGTTTGTTATTCATGGTCTTTATTATGTTGAGGTATGATCCCTCTCTTCCCACGTTGTTGAGAGATTTTATTAAAAACGGGTGTTAGATTTTGTCCAGTGCTTTTTCTATATCTATTGTATGATCATGTAATTTATGTCTTTTCAATTTGTTTATGTGATGTATCACCATTTATCGATTTGGGAATATTGTACCAGTTTTGCATCCCTAGAATAAATCCCACATAATCATGGTGTATGATCTTTTTAATATCTTGCTGGATCTGATTTTCTGATATTTTTTTTTGAAAATTTTAGCATCTATATTCATCGGGGATATTGGCCTGTAATTCTCTTTCTTTGTAGTCTCTTTATCTGGTTTTGGAATAGGATGAGACTATCCTCATAAAAAAGCGCTTGGATTAAAAATCCTTCCTCTTGGGTTTTTTTGAATAGCTTGAGTAGTATAGGTGTTAGTTCTTTGAATGTTTGGTAAAATTCCCCTGTGAAGCTATCTGGGCCAGGCTTTTGTTTGCTGGGAGTTTTTAAATTACTGCTCCTATTTCCTTAGTTGTTATTGGCCTATTCAGGTTTTCTGATTTAGGTGTGGGAGATTGTATTTTTCTAGTTATTTATCCATTTCATACAACACAAGTTGTTCGCCTTCCTAGCTTTTGGCTACCAGTCTGATCCATGGCAGGTCAGAGCCCTGAGTAGTCTGGTATGTGCATCCTCTGTAGTCCAGAGACTGGGTTTCTAATGGGACTCTCCCCTTAATGTCCTTGCTCGGAGTCGCTTTCCCTTTCCCATGCATCTTCATTCTATGACGTATCCAGGGCTTGGCTGGGGTAGTTTAGTGTGAAGTGATAGCATCTCTAGAACATGGTGTTATTATTTAAGAAGTCTGGGGAAATTTGGTAGAGTTTTTAAAGACAATAAATAAAATAAGGAAATTTGTTGTGATTTTTTAGTTTCCAAAACATTCACTTGCAAGAAATTAATCATTGAGCATACAGAAAGGATGAGATTTCATTAAGTCTGCTAAAGGGAAAAGTTAAGCTTTTTTCTGGAGGAATAAATTAGTTTTACTCACCTTGTGATAGGGCACTTAATTCTGTGGACCTGATTGATAAATAGAACATAGAGTTGACTTCAAGGGGTCAAAGGCATTGAGAGCTAGTGGGCCTCTTGAGCGTTCAACTTCTTGCAGATTCATCTGAAGGACAGGTAAACTCATCTGTTGTGATTGGTGGTTGTGGCATATGGAAACACATTTTTTATTTAAGAATTGCCTTTTGAAAGGAAAATTTGTATATTAAAGAAAATAAAATACAAGGTTACTAATAGAAATGTTGCTAACCAAAAATAATTATAAAACAAAGCTACTAAAAATTAGAACTTGATATCTATAAACCTTAAAGGTATATTTTGGAAAAGAGACACGGGACTCAATGTAGAAAGCTAAGGAGGAAAAATACATAGCTGTTGTTCTTGTTCTTAATATTGCCTATAATATAATAATTACTTTATTTTAAAATATGTTCATTAGTTATCTTTATTATTTTTACTTTATATAAAATAGTTGCCATAGATACCAAGATGGTGGACATTTCTGATATTCATTTCTTTGTAGGGACTCATGGTCCCATCTGATGCCATTCTTCCTACCTGAAAATCTTCTGATTACATTTTTTTGAAATACAAATCTGTTGGTGATTAATTTTTTGAGATTTTGTGTGGCTAAAAAGTCTTTAATATCCCTTCATTTCTAAAATATATTTTACTAGGTATAGAATTTTAGGTTGATAGTATTTTTCTTTGAGTATTTTAAAGATACTACTCCTACATTGTTACTGATGAGAAGGGTTGTCATTTAAAATTTTTTTAATATATAATGCATTTTTTTTGTATGATAGTAAGATCTTCTCTTTATCAATGGTTTCAATCAATATAATGTTACTTTTATGTTTCTTTTGGTAGATACATTGATCTTCTTGAACATGTGGCTTTTTTGGGGGGGAAGGGGATATTTTCTGCCATATTCCCTCAAATATTTTTTAGTACCCTTCCTTTCTTTGTGTATATGTGCATATGTTAGGCCATTGAAATTGTCCTTCAGGTCAGTATTGTTCTTTTTATTATATTTTATCTTTGTTTTATTTTGGATAGTTATTTTGGGGGTCTGATAACACTAACATTTTTTAATATAAATTAATGGTCATTTCCTTTTTACTTTATGCCATTTTGGTTATGAAGGGTTTCATAGGAATCCCCTAATCTCAAATAGTGGAGCTATAATACAAAGTTTATCAACCTTAGAACTATTCACATTTTGGGGCTGGATAATTATTTGTATGTTATTAAATGTTTAAAATTATACCTGGCCCCGGTGTACCAGATGTCACGAATTAGATTTTCTTTATACTTTTATGGATTTGGGGTTTTGCATTTGATTAAATTCCCTGCCCGCCCCCAGCATATGCAATCACTCCCCTACGGTCTGTGTCCATTGGTTATGCTTTATGCATGCACACAAGTTCTCTGGTTGATCTCTTACCCCATCCCTCCCATGCCTTACCTATTAGGTTGGATGGTCTGTTTGATGCTTCTATGACTCTGGCTCTATTTTTCTTTATCAGTTTATGTTGTTCATTATATTGCACAAATGAGTGAGATCATATGATATTTATCTTTCTCCAACTGGCTTATTTTCCTTAGCATAATGTTCTCTAGGCCCATCTATGGTGTTTCAAATGGTAAGAGTTCTTTCTTTTTCACAGAAGCATAGTATTCCATTGTGTAGATGTACCATGTTTTTTTAATCCACTCATGTGCTGATGGGCACTTCAGATGTTTCTAAATCTTAGCTATTGTAAATTGTGCTGCTATGAACATAGGGGTGCATATATTCTTTTCCAAGAACTCAGAAGTTCCAATCAGATTAATTGTTTTTTTATCAACCTTTTACTTTGATAGGCTTTGCTCTCTGTGCATGACACTGTAGCTCAGAAGAAATATGATCCAGTGTTGCCTCCTATGCCTGATGATATTGATGATGAGGAAGACTCGGTAAAAATAATTCGTCTGGTCAAAAATAGAGAACCCCTGGTAAGTTTTGGTCTACTTGTGCCCAGATAAGAGTAGATATCACGAAAAAACTAAATCTGATGAGGACATTCCAAAAATTCCTCGGTTTAAAATACACTTCCTCTGTGCCCTAAAACTTTCAAGTAAATGGAACATTTATGTCTAAAGAATATATATGATTTAGAAAAATGAAATGACATTTTGTTGGTTATAAGTAGGAAAAATTTTTAAATGTGAATTGTTGACATTTACAAAAGAAAGCATATGCACCAGTCATAGATGATTTGAGATTAAATGGTGCATAAGAATAATTGCTTATGGCTTTTTCTAGGAAATAATTTATTTTATTTATTTGTTTATTTTAATATTTTTAAAAATTGATTTCAGAGAGAAAGGGTGAGGGAGAATATATAGAAACATCACTATTAAGAGAGAATCATTGATCAGCTGCCTCCCACACGGCCCCTGCCTGGTATTAAGCCCACAATCCTGGCATGTGCCCTGACCATGAATAGAACTGTGACCTCCTGGTTCATTAGTCAACTCTCAACCACTGAGCAACACAGGCTGGGTTAACAAAAGGTTTTGAATGGGGAGATTATTCTGGTTTATCTAGTGGGTTCAATCTAGTCACAAGCATTCTAACTAAAGTGAAAGAAGGAGGCATGAAGGCCTGTGTCATAGAAGGAGATGTGATGATGGAAACAGAGGTTGGAGTGATGTGGCAATGAACCACAGAATGCTAGAAGCTTCCAGCAAATGGAACAAGCAAGGACTGGATTTTATCCTACATCCACCAAAGAAATGTAGCCCTGCTGACACATTGGTTTTAGCCCTTTAGTACCCATTTTGGCCTTCCTAACTCCAAATTGTCAGGTAATAAATTTGTGTTGTTTAAGCCATTAAATCAGTGGTCCTTTGTTATAGCAGTAATAGAAAATAAATATGCAGTGTATTCATATATTTATAAAACTACAGTCAAAAGACAAATAAATTAATTTTATTATGTAGCACTTGATTTTATTCTAATTAAGATATTTCTATTTTCTTAAAGCAAATAGCAGTTGCTAATATAATATGTTTTAATTGATTTTTAGAGAAAGAGGAAGGAAAAAAAAAAGAGAAAAAATCAATATGAGGGAAACATTGATTGGTTGCCTCTCATAGGCACCCTGACCAGGCATCTGATATGTGATTTAGTTATATGCCCTGATGGGGAATCAAATCCGAAACATTTTGGTGTATGGGAGGACACTCCAACCAATTGAGCTACCCCGCCAGGCTCTAGTTTTATCTTCTATACCATATTGTGTCTTTGCACTTTTCCTTTTTGGTTCTTTTATTCTCTTTTTTGTTTTTTTGGGGCGTTTTTTGTTGTTGTTATTGTTGTTTGTTTATTTGTTTGTTTAAGGATAGATAAATGCATTGGACATTCCTACTGAGAAAAATGTATGCGATAAGTTTGAATATTATATCAAGGGATTTATTGAGCCCCAGAATCTCATCCATGGATATCCTAGCACTCCCTATATTCCTAGTTAATATTATTTAATTTAGGTTGTACCTTCCTGCTTTTCATCTGTATTATAGCTCTATGCTGATAACCTAAAAAGCTTGTGATTTTTATTATTGAGGTGATATATTTAAGAATAGGTGACACTCATGTTGAATATAGAAAGAGCTGTCTCAGGGCCTAGCACCATAAAGTGACTAATTTTTAGTGGGTTCTGTGCATCTGTTAAATTAAATACCTTTTTATTTTGCTCAATTCAGCCCTTTAGGGAGATAATTGAAAGACTATCTTGAGAAGTTCAATAATTAATAATTTATTTGATTTGTCATAATTTCTTCAGGGACAGTAGTTTTGGTGAGCTAACATTTAAATAGTCATCAGCAACATTTAAGTTCCATGCCTTCTGATAAAATAAAATCTTTAAAATGTTTATCAAAGAAATTCGGCATGTACTGCATCAAGATTTCACAAAAGGTTTGACTGGAGCTACTATGAATAGTTTAAATTCAAAAACGTTGAATGACATATATAAAATAATCTAAAGCTGTGTTATCATAGTTTGTTACTAAACATTTATTTAGCTAATAAGCATGTAACAACTGAAATAATTTGACCTACTTTGAGGTGGTGATTATTCATCTAATACCCTCTTCCATTATAGATTATAGATTATATAATAATATAATCCATTATAGATTATATAATACAGTGTATATAAGATAGTAGCAAGAGTGACATGTTAGATTCAATAGGACTTGTGGATACAGAGGGCAAAAGGAGAGAGGAAGTCAACAGTGGCATTGGGGGTTCTTATTTAGGTGACTAGAAGTATTATACATTAAATTAGCAAGAATAAAAGAAGATGCATGGGAATATCAATGACAAATTCCCTTATGATTATACTGAGCCTATGGGCTATGCAGGTGCTAGCAAAAGGTTAGATATTTAGGAAAGGGAACCAGGGAAATTTCTTTAAAAATAATGTTGAATTGGTAAGTTATTTAAAAACTGAATATTTATCTTTAGCATGAGAATGTTTTCCAGGTTTGTAATATTTGTGTATTTGGGGGCATTAAAGCATGTCTCAAATTATTCAGTTTCTTATTAGTATATTATGGTATAACTAGAGGCCCAGTGCACAAATTTGTGTACCAGTGGGGTCCCTTGGCCTGGCATGTGGGATCGGGCCAAAACCAGCTCTCTGACATTCCCTGAGGGGTCCCAGATTGCAAGAGGACACAGGCCAGGCCAAGGGACCCCACCAGTGCACAATCAGGGCTGGGCAGGATCCGAGGGAGGGATCATGGGAGGGCTTCAGGGCATGTCCAGCCTGTTTCACTCAGTCCTGATCAGCAGGATCCAAGCAGCACGCTAACCTACCGGTCAGAATATCGCCCCCTGGTGGTCAGTGCACATCATAGCAACTGGTCGACCAATCTACTGTCTTCCCCCTGGTGGTCAGTGCATGTCATAGCGAGTGGTTGAACAGCTTTAGCATATCATTAACATGTTGTGCTTTGATTGGTTGAATGGATGACCAGACAAGTGGACACTTAGCATATTAGACTTTTATTATATAGGATTTGGCAAGTTTGTAATGTATTTAATGGCATTTTTCTCTCTGCTTCCCCAAAAATGGGCAAGAAGAAAGAAGCCAAAGTTAAATACAATTTTTTCAAGTGTATGGTTAGGATATTTTGGCAAATGATTCAAGAGAAAAGGCCATATAATTTAGCAGTCAAGTGTTAGATTATTCATGTTAAGAATGTAATTTTGTTTATTTGACCCAGGTGTAAGGTGGTAAAATGAATACCAAGCTTGCATTAGGTGACCTGAGTGTTATAGGGTGTCACTTATTTGCCATATATCCTTACATCAGTGAGTTGTTTAACAACTCCATCTCGGCTTCCTTATCAGAAAGTATAACTCTTTGAGATTGTTTTAATTATCAACTGAGATATAATGTATTTGAAATGCTTTTTATGTTCTTGTGCATTATGTGTTAGATAAATGGTCCATTGAATAATAAGGCTAGATGACAGCTATTTAAGCACAGCATGATTTTCCAGAAGGGCAATGAACAAAGATCATGTAGGCATTTGGCAATGGAAAGGGACAAGGGTGCTAATTCTAGGGGAGAGATGGATAAAAGAATTGAGAGAAGCGGAGAAAAACAACAATAAGGATATAAGAGGCAGAGCTATCCTCACTCCCTTGTGAGTTTGGAGGAGCTTATGTTTGTTGTATCCAGAGATTAATTTTTAGACAAGCTTAAGAAAATGAAATTCTATTAGTTTGTAGGTGGATTTCATCTTAAATTTTCAGTGTTTCTTGCATGGATTGTCTTCTTGGTTCTTTTAGAATAGTGGTTCTCAAACTCTGTTATTATAAGAATTACCTGAGATGCTTACTTAAAAATGCAGACTTATGGGCCTCTACTGTAAATGGCCTACATTAGTAGGTTTTGGGCAAGACCTGGGAATCTAGATTTTAAAACGTGTCTCAGAGGATTTTGATGCAAATATTTGGTATACCATCCTTTGAAAACCCCTACTTCAAAGTGTTAACTTTAAATCAACTGTGCTACCAGCTTAAAAAGGTCTTATAATATTGACAGTGTTACAGGAGATGAAATTTTTATTCAAGGAGATCATGATAGCCTAGTCCTCTTTGCATTTCTCTTTATAAACCATTTTATAGTAATAGTAACAATTATCTAACCAGAAGTTATTCTTCTAAATCTAACCTTAAGTTCTCTATATTCATATTTTGCCAAAATCACACCAAATAAATTATTAAAATAATTATATAAGAAAATACATAAGTTATAAAACATTAGATTAAATTTTAATTCATTTTGCATGTGCAAATATGCCTTAGGACTTTTAAATTTTGTATAATATTATATGCAATGAGCTTTATTTTTATGCATCTTACACTAAGAATACATCAAAGAATTATGATATAGCAGTTTGGAAAGCAAAATGGAAACAAATATCTGCAGAAGTAAAGAGATTGTAAAGAAGATAAGTCAAGTGCTAGCTAATGTCATGTAGAAGGGGGGAGATTATTCCTCAGGTTCATAGTTTACCATCCAAGGAAGGGGAGAATCAGTCGATAGCAAATGTATTATATTTTATAGTACATATCTATAATAAGGTAACCCTTAAATGTTTTTTTAATATATTTTATTGACTTTTTACAGAGGAAGAGAGAGGGATAGAGAGTTAGAAACATCGAGGATAGAGAAACATCGATCAGTTGCCTCCTGCATAACCCCTACTGGGGATGTGCCCGCAACCAAGGTACATGCCCTTGATTGGAATCGAACCTGGGACCTTTCATCCACAGACCAACACTATCCATTGAGCCAAACCAGTTTTGGCTTCAGTGTTCTTTTTTATTTACATATTCTGGAAGTGATTCATACAACATCTGTATGCTAGTGACTTCCAGGGCTATTTCTCTCTTCTAGACGTTTATTCTAATGTTTAAATTTGTATGTATGTCCACCTGTCTACTTGATCTCCATTTAGATGTCTAATAGCCATCTCAGTCTTCACATGTAAAGAGTGAAGGAGGACTTCTAGTCAAGGACTCCACAGTAAAATAGTCTTTGTCTTCAAATGTGTTCCATCCATAGGGTTCCCCTCTCAGTTGATGACAATCCCATCTTTCCAGTTGCTCAGCCAAAAACCATAGAGTCTATCTTTTATACTCTCCCCCTCTTTCACTTGCCATTTCTAACCCATTGGGAAATCTTTTTGTCTCTACCAATAATATATCCAGTCTACCTTTCATTATTTTTGATTGGCAGGAGCCAATCAGATTGAAGCTCCCGCCCTCTTTTCCTTGGATTACAATAATAGCTTCCCTTTAGCCCTTGCTATCCTTCATTCTTTTTTTTTTCTTTTTTTTATCCTTCATTCTTATTTTTCTTTCCATTTTTAAATCATTTTTATTTTTGGATTAGTTAACAAATATTATTATGTTGGTTTCAGGTGTACACCTCAGTGATTAGAGACTACATAATTTACTAATTGATCATCCCACTAAATCTCGCACCCATCTGACACTGTACATAGTTATTAGAATACTATTGACTACTAGAGACCCAGTGCATGAAATTTGTGCATGAGGTATGGGGTGTCCCTCAGCCCAGCTGCACCCTCTCCAGTCTGAGACCCCTCGGGCCTAAACCAGCACTCAGACATCTCTCTTGCAATCCACGACCACTGTATTCTAACTGCTCACCTGCCTGTTTACCTGATCACCCCTTACCACCTCTGCCTACTGGCCTGATCAACCCCTAACTGCTCCCCTGCCAGCCTGATCACCCCTAACTGCCCTCTCCTGCTGGCCTGGTCTCCCCTAAAAGTACTACATTTACTTGCCCTGCCACCTTGACTAGAAGTCCTCCTTCACTCTCTTAACATAGTAGGTGGAGTGATCCTTTCATATTGCAACATTCCTGCTATTCAAAGCCTTGCATATTGTATCTTTAATTCATAGTAAATTCTAGAGTCCTCACAATGACCTACAAAGCTACATGATCTGGATGTCTGTTACCTTCTGACTTCACCTCCTACCGTTTCTTCCCTTTTACTTTACTCCAGCCACACTAGCTTCTTTGCTCTATTTTAGACATTTATTTCATAGCCACCACAGCACTTTTGCCCTGGCTATATCTTTAACTCTTTCTCTTCAGCTAACTCCGCTTTTTTCCATTCTTTCTTTATGCAGTTGTCATCTTCCCAGTGAAATCTGTGTTTTTTCATCATGTTCCCTCTACTTGCCTGGCACTCCTGAGCTTTCTTACCCTTCCCTCCCCCACTCATCCCCGTAGTGCTTACCACTTTCTAACATACTTTATAATATAATTATCTCATGTTTTTATTGTCTGTCTTTTCTGTTAGAACAGGCATAATCTCCATGACAGGGCAGAAATTTGTGTGTGTTCCCCCCCCCCCACCGTTGTATTATAAGCTCTTAGAACAGAGCCTGGCATATAATAGGGTCTCAGTAAACACTTGTTTCATTGAATCACAAAATAAGTCAAAGTGATAACTAGCTTTAGGCGCAATGAATTGGGTAGCTCTATACTGAAAAACAGTATAAATCATAGTGGAGAAAAATCTGTCCTAGTTGTAGTTCTGTGTCACAAACCACATCCAAATTTGTGACCAAAACAATAATTTATTATTAACTTTCACAGTTTTGGAAGTTGGCAGGCTCAGCTGAGCACATACAATTAAACTGATACCTGTAGTAGGAAGGAAGTTGGGAGCTGGTCCAGTATCTCTTTTTCCAGGTGGCATTTCCACTAGTCTAGCTTGGGCTTCCTCACAGCATGATAGCAGTCATGATTTTCACGTGGTGGCTGGCGTAAGTCAAGTGGTAGCTGCAAGTCTTCTTGTAGCTTTAGATGCCTCTGAGACATTTTCACTATTGGGTATGGGAATATCACATACACATACAAACAGGGAAGGAATTGATGACCTCCATCTTGAAAACAAGGTCTCATTTGTAAATTATGGATAAGTAACCTATACTGATAACAGACAAATATGTAGATTGACCTCTACAACACCCAGAGCCAATCATGAGTGAGCATGCAAATTAACCTGTGTGGGTAGCATGCACACATGCAGGTGCCAAGCGGCTGGTGTCCTGGGAATGCCACTGGAGTGTCCGGTCCTGGGAGTGGCTGGAGTTCCAAGTCCCTTTGGTTTCTGCAGCCTCTGGACCAGAAGCGGAACCAAGAGTGCGGGAAAGTTCGAGATACATTATTAAGGGAAATGAAAGTTAATCTAATCAAATGCATTATTTATATTAAGAATATTACATTTCCAGTTACCTTGGTTCCATGTTAATTGTTTACAAGCAGAAAATACCAGTAATAAATGTATCTAAGATTTATGGTCATAGATACTCATTCAGGACTTTGGTTTGAATGCATGAATAGGTGATGAAAAATGCCACAAAATCATTCTACACTTAATTTTTAATTATTTACTATTATGAGATATGTATCTAATAGCTATCATATATAAAATGTACTTATAATAAATAGATTTCTAATTTTGCTTACATATCTGTTTTTAGCGATATAAACCTGTTTATTGACACACCTGAGAAAAATTCCACTTTCTTCTTTGGGATCAGTTCTGTTCCCACCTACTGTGCATCTTTTTTTGCCCTGTGATGAAGTGCAGAGCTGCATTTCTAAGCTGGTGCCAGTTTCTTGAAAAGGAAAATCATGAAAGGGTGTTTAAAGTAGCCATTTGTGCCTATTGTTCTTACAAAGCAACATTCAGTTCATCTGCTTCTGAACATCCAAAAATGAAGAATTTCTGGATTCTTTTTAAAATTATGTCTTAATCTTATGCCAAAATGTTAGTTCTGTTTGTACTAGGGACAATTATAGTTCATAAAAACCCTGGACTAACTTCTTTTCTTCTATTAATTCATATTAGCCTTGGCTAAGAAATATAACTAACTTTGGAGTTTTAATTAATTTATTTATTATTTTCACTGATTCCATTACCATAATCATGTAGTAGAAGGACTACTGAACTAAAAGTCAAATGACCTGAATTTTATAATTTATAAAATATTTTTCTATTCATTTAAGCTTCTTTATATATAGTCTACCTTCTTTGTGGGATATTTTAAAGATGAAATAAAGAAATGCTTTAAAAAGTAAAAACAAATAGTATTTAAATACAAGGTGTTATAATAGAAAGAAGATAGTTGTATTTTTCATAATATTAAAGAAGCTAAAGACTTCAAAAATCTTTAAATTTTTCTGGAAACTATAGATGGTATATGTACAGTTCAAAATTCTAGATCCAGTAGTGAACATTTATAAGGCACATGGTATGATGTCTATTCCTCCTGCCTCATTCCTTTTATTTTTCGTAGTAGTTGTTTTCACTTTTGCAGATAAATCTCCTTGTTTCTCCTCCCCCGTCATACCACCCAGTACACACATTTACCCACAAATACTTTTGTCTTTCTTCAAAGGGAGCCACCATTAAGAAAGATGAGCAGACTGGGGCCATCATTGTGGCTAGAATCATGAGAGGAGGTGCTGCTGACAGAAGTGGTGAGAGTTTAAATGTGAAGTGAATATAGACAAGTCATGCTGCATTTCACAGATAATATTTTAATATATACATAAGAGGATAATAGTCTTTTGATATAATACAACAAATCAAGAAATAAAATATTTTTCTCTGTCTTGATATATGGGAACTTGTATAAATAAGTGAAAAGTAAATCTCTCTCTACTCTCTTAACTTGCATGGGCTTCCAAGATTACATTGAGACTTGTTTCAGTGTTTCTGATTTGAAAGATACTACTAAAAGCATGTAGCCTTTTTTTTTTTTAAAGTAAGAATTATTTTCTAAGATGGAAATTATATGCATTTCTAGACACCGAGCATAATGTTTTTCTTTGACATTATAGTCTTTGATTCATTGCTATACAAACGCATGGAATCTGAAACTGGAGAAGCCAGAAGGTCTTCTTTTCAATCCTCAGATATGTAACTTACAGTTTCTTTTGTAGGTAACACTGCTAATTTACTGAATTTGCTATTACCCAGGTCTTATTCATGTTGGTGATGAACTTAGGGAAGTGAATGGGATACCAGTTGAGGATAAAAAACCTGAAGAAATCATTCGGATTTTGGTAAGCTGAAATTTTATTTTAAATTATAAAATCACTATATATCCAACTAGGTTATGAATACAGGGTTTGGATTTAGCAGTCCAGGATTCAAATTCCAGCTCCATCACTTAATCCTTATGTGTCTTTGGAAAATACCTTAACCTTTTTATTGCACCAGTATTTTCAGTTACAAAATATGAATAAGAACAGTTAAATATCTCACTGGAATGTTTTGAAGATTAAATGAGCTAAAGAGTTTATTACAGGGCCTTTCCCAATTAGATGCCATTTTGGGGTTATTTATTTATCTTTTCTTTCTCCCATCAATATAGTCTATACTTTCTATGTATATAAAATAGTAAAACTGCCTAAACTGGTTTGGCTCATGTGTTCTTACATGGATAGAGTGTCAGCCTGCGGACTGAAAGGTCCCAGGTTCAATTCCGGTCAAGGGCATGTACCTTGATTGCAGGCACAACCCCAGTAGGGGGTGTGCAAGAGGCAGCTAATCAATGATTCTCTCTCATCAATGTTTTTAACTCTCTATCCCTCTCTCTTCCTCTCTATAAAAAATCAATAAGTTATATTTAGAAATAAATAAACAAAATAGTAAAACTAATTTAAATGTCTTATGAAATCCAAAGCAGAATGAAATTATTTTAGGCCTTGACAATATTTATTATCAAGTTCATTTACAAAGATAAAATGAAGAGAAACTGTCCCTGTTATTTATGAAAACATATTATGAATCTACAGAAATAAAAGTTTAGTATTTCAAAACAGACCTTAGTATATGTGCATATTTAGTATAGATTTTGGTGGCATTTTATATTACAGGGAAAACAATGAAATCACTTTGTAAATGGATTGGATTAATTGATGATTCAGTTAGAAAAAATAAAGTCAGTCCCTATTTTCTACCTCATACAAAAACAAATCCCAACAAATTAAATACTCAAGTTTTTAAAAATTACAAAAAGTAGAGTAAGACATTAATATTATAAAATTCAAGTAGAAAAAGAACTGATATTACTGTAGAAAACTTTCTGAACAGAAAAAGATGTCATACATGAAACAATCAAATGAGCCCTGACTGGTGTGCTCAGTGGTTGCAGCGTAGGCCTGTGTATCAAATGGTCATGGGTTTTATTCCCAGTAAAGGGCACATAGCTGAGTTGTAGGGTCAGTCCCCATCACTGTTCTGGGTATGTGTGGGAAGCAGTCAATTAATGTGTCTCTCTCACATTGATGTTTCTCTCTCTCTCCCTCCCTCCCTCCCTTCTTTCCTTTTCCTTCCCTCCCTCCCTTACACTCTCTAAAAATCAATGGAAAAAATATCGAGTAAGGATTAACAACAACAACAAAACTTAGACATGAGATTGCAGGAAAAAAATTTCAGTATATATGAAAGAAGGCTAATACTTTAATATATTTAAAAATTAACGAGAAAGAACATTTTTAGAAAAATTGGCAAAGGATATGCACAGATAATATACAAAAGAAAACATCATGTCTGAACAATACTGGACTAGTAGGAATTTAAAAACTTGATAATGCCAAGAGTTACCCAGGTTATAGGGAAATAAATGTTTATATGATTTTTGTAGTAGGATAAATTGATAGACCTTTTTGAGATGGCTACCTAATACTTTCAGTTTTTATATTTGCATATCCTTTTTGTTGTTATTGATAGTATTACAGATGTCCTCCATTTCCCCACACCCTTTTTCACTCCACCCAGCCATTGTCACACCCCAGGCCTTTACCATACTACTGTCCATGTCCATGGGCTATGTTTATGTTCTATGCTGAATCTCCTCCCGACCTTCACCTCCCTTCCCTCTGAGATCTGTCAATCTGTTCCATGTGCCTAGCCTCTAGACCTATTTTGTTCATCAGTTTATGTTCATTAGATTCCACATGTTAGACATACGGTATTTGTCTTTCTTTGATTGGCTTTTTTTTTTTTCTGCTTAGCATAATAACCTCCAAGTTTATCCATGCTATTGCAAAGGGTAAGAGATCCTTCTTTATTACAGCCACATAGTATTCCATGGTGAAAATCCACTACAGTTTGTTTATCCACTTATCTACTGACTAGAGGCCCAGTGCACAAAATTCGTGCATGGGGGTGGGGGGAGTGTCCCTCAGCCCAGCCTGTACCCTCTCCAATCTGACACCCCTCGAGCGATGTCCGACTGTCCCACAGGATCGGGCCTAAAAATGGGCAGTCAGACATCCCTCTCACAATCCAGGACTGCTTGCTCCCAACTGCTCACCTGTCTGCCTTCCTGATTTCCCCTAACAGATTCTGCCTGCCAGCCTGATCACCCTAACCATTCCCATGCCAGCCCGATTGATGTCTAACTGCTCCCTGCCAGCCTGTTTGCCCTAACTTTCCTCCTCTGCTAACCTAGTCATCCCTAACTGCCCTCCCCTGCTGGCCATCTTGTGGTGGCCATCTTGTGTCCACATGGGGGCAGGATCTTTGACCACATGGGGGCAGCCATCTTGTGTGTTGGAGTGATGGTCAATCTGCATATTACTCTTTTATTAGATAGGAGGATAGAGGCCTGATGCACAGGTGGGGGCCAGCTGGTTTGCCCTGAAGGGTGTCCCAGATCAGGGTGGGGGTTCCCTTGGAACGTGGGGCAGCTTGAGCCAGGGGCCTGTGGTGGTTTGCAGGCTGGCCACACTCCCCTGTGACCCAAGCCGAGGCTCTATTAATGGGATTTATTTATCTTCAATAATTGAAACTTTGTAGCCTTGAGCAGAGCCAAGCCTCCTGCTTGCTCCATGGCTGCAGCCATTTTTATTGGAATTTATTTATCTTCTATAATTGAAACTTTGTAGCCTTGAGTGGAGGCCAGGGCAGGTCAGGGCTATCGAAGCTTGGCTTCCTATATCTCTGGAGGCAACTCAAGACTCCTGCTTTCTCCAGCTCCATGGCTGCCATCATTTTTTTGTCAGGATTTATTTATCTTCTTTAATTGAAACTTTGTAGCCTTGAGTGGAAACCTGGGCTGGCCAGGGTATGCAGCAAGCTTGGCTTCCTCCATTACCAGGGAAACCTAAGCCTCCTGCTCGCTCTGTGGCTGCAGCCATCTTGGTTGTATTAATTTGCATAGTTGCTCCTGATTGGCTGGTGGGCATGGCTTGTGGGTGTAGTAGAGATATGGTCAATTTGCATATTACTCTTTTATTATATAGGATGTGGCTATGAACATAGGAGTGCAAACATTCTTTCAAGCTAATGTTTAGGGATTCTTAGGATATATTCCCAGAAGTGGGATCCCTGGGTCAAAAGGCAGTTCAATTTTAATTTTATTGAGGAAACTCCATACTGTTTTCCAGAATGGCTGCAACAGTCTACATTCCCACCAGCAGTGCACTCAGGTTCCCTTTCTCCACATCCTCTCCAGCGCTTGTTTGTTGATTTAATGATGGCAGCCATTCTGGCAGGTATATGGTGATACCTCATTGTGATTTTAATTTGCATCTCTCTGATGATTAGTGACATTGCATATTCTTTCATATGTCTATTGGCCATCTGAGTATCATCTTTGGAGAAGTGTCTGTTCAGAACCTCTGCCCATTTTTTAATTGTATTATTTATCTTCTTAGTGTTGAGTTGTATCAGTGCATTACATATTTTGGATATTAACCATTATTAGAGATGTGTCATTGGCAAATATGTCTTCTCACCATGGGTTCCCCTTTCATTTTGTTGAAATGATGGTCCAGTTTGCTGTGCAGAAACTATTTACTTTGATATAGTCCTATTTCTTTATTTTTTTCTTGCCCTAAGAGTTGTATTGATGAAAATACTTTTGGTTTATTGTCTGAGATTTTTCTGCATAAATCTTCTCCCAGGCTTTTTATGGTTTCACAACTTAAATTTAAGACTTTTACCTATTCTGAGTTTATTCTTATGTATAGTGTAAGTTGGTGGTCTAGTTTCCTTTTGTTATTGTTTGCATGTACCTGTCCAATTTTTTCAAAACAATTTATTGAAAAAACTGCCTTTACTCCTTTGTATTCTCTTGCCTCTTTTGTCTAGTTTTACTTGACCATAAAGATATGGGTTGATTTCTGGGCCCTCTGTTCTGTTCCATTGGTCTATATGCCTATTCTTGTGCTGGTAATAGGTTGTTTTGACTGCAGTAGCTTTGTAGTATGGTTTTTTATCCGGTATTGTGATTCCCCCCATTTGTTCTTCTCAAGATTATTGTGACTATTAGTGGTCTTTTTGCTTTCCTATACATTTTTGAAATATTTGTTTTCGATCTGTGAAACATGCCATAGATAATTTTTGGTTTTGTTTTGTTAATCCTCAACGGAGGATATTTTTTCCATTGATTTTTAGAGAGTGAAAGGGGAGTGGGGTGGGGGGTGAAGAGAGAGAAAGGAATATCGATTGAGAGAGACACACCAGGGCAGTTGATCAAATGTGCAAGCCAGATATGTGACCTTGAACCCGAGACCCTTCTGTGCATTGACTGATGATTTAATAACTGAACAACACCAGCCAGGGTGCCATTCATTTTTTAATAGGGATTGCTTTGCTTTGGGTTATATAGACATTTTAATAATGTTAATTCTTCTAATCCATGAATATAGTATATGCTTCCACTTGTTTGTATCTTCCTCTATTTATGTTGAAATCTCTTACAGTGTTCTGATTACAGATCTTTTACCTCCGTTAAGTTTATTTCTAGATATCTTTTCTTTTTTTCTTGCAAAGGTAAATAGGATCGTATTTTTAGTTTCTCTTTCTGAGAGTTCATTGCTGGTGTATAAAAATGCCATCAATTTCTGCATGTTAATTTTCTATCATATTAATTTGCCAAATTCACTTATTAAATCTATCAGTTTTTGGTGAAGTCTTCAGGGTTTTCTAATATAATTTCATATAATGTGGTAATATTACAGTTTAACTTCCTCCTTTCCAAATTGGGTGCCTTTTCTTTTTTTGTCTGATCACTGTGACTAGGACTTCCAGTACTATGTTGAATAAGAGTAGTGAAGGGGTCATCCTGTCTTATTCCTGATCTTAAATGAAACACTTTTAGTTTTTGTGATTGAGTATGATGTTGGCTATAAGATTGTCATACATGGCCATCATTACATTGATGTATGATTCCCTCTATTCCTACTTTGCTGAGAGGTATTTTTTAAATCAAAATTGGGTCCTGGATTTTGTCAAATGCTTTTTCTGTGTCTTTTGATATGATTACATGATTTTTATACTTCATTTTTTATATGACATATCGTATTTATTGATTTGTGAGTATTATACCAGCCTTGCACCCCCCAAATAAATCCCACTTGTTCATGCTGTATGTTCTTTTTAATTTATTGTTGGATCTGATTTGCTAATATTTGTTAAAGATTTTAGCATTTTTGTTCAAAAAAGATATTAGCCTATAATATATTTTTTGTGCATTGTCTTTATCTGGTTTTGGAATTAGAATAATGCTAGCCTCATTAAAATAGTGTGGCTTTAGCCCGTTTTGCCCAGTGTTTAGAGCATTGACCCAAGGACTGAAAGGTCACAGATTGGTTCTAATCAAGGGCATGTACCTTGGTTGCAGGCTCTATCACTGGCCTGGGTCAGCATGCTTGTGGAAGGAAATCAATCAATGTGTCTCTCTCACATGGGTGTTTCTCTCTGTCTCTATCCTGTCCTTCCACTCTTTCTAAAAATAAATGGGAAAAATTACCTCATGTGATGATTAACAATAACAACAACAAAAAAGAATGTGGATGTCTTCTCTCCTCTTGAATTTGTTGGAATAGTTTGAGGAGAATAGGTGTTATTTCTTCTTTCAATGTTTCATAAAATTCACCTGTAAAGCCTTCTAGCCCAGCACATTTGTTTTCTGGGAGTTTTTTTTTTTTTTTTTTTTTTTTTTACTATATTTTATTGATTTCATACAGAGAGGAAGTGAGAGAGATAGAGAGTTAGAGACATCGATGAGAGAGAGTCATCGATCAGCTGCCTCTTGCACACCCCCTACTGGGGACATGCCCGCAACCAAGGTACATGCCCTTGACCGGAATCGAACCCGGGACCCTTCAGTCCCCAAGCCGACGCTCTATCCATTGAGCCAAACCGGTCCCGGCTGTTTTCTGGGAGTTTTTAAAATTACTTCTTCAACTTTATTAGGTGTTAATTGACCTATTAAGGTGTTCTGATTCTTCCTGATTGAGTTTTTGTGTTTCTAGGAATTTGTCCATTTTGCTTAGTTTGTACAATTTGTTGACATATATTTTTTCATAATATTTTCTTACAATCCTTTGTATTTCTGTGACATCAGTTGTTACTTTGCTTCTTTCACTTATGGATTTTACTTGGGCTCTGTCTTTGGTTCTTGATGAGTGTGGCTATAGATTCATCAATCTTGTTTATTTTTTCCAAGATCCAGTTCTTGGTTTCATTGATCTTTAGTATAGTTTGTTTGTTTTTTTGTTCTCTATATTTGCTTCTAGCCTGTTTATTATTTCCTTCCTTCTACTTACGCTGGGATTTTTCTTGTTGTTCTCTTTCTAGTTCTTTTAGTTGTAGGGCTAGATAGTTCATTAAAGATTTTTCTTGTTTCTTGAGGTAAGCCTGTGATGCTCTGAACTTCTGTCTCAGGACTGCTTTTACTGCCCCATAAATTTGGGTTTGTTGTGTGTTCATTTTTATTTGTTTCCAGGGAGTTTTTTTTTTTTTATTTCTTCTTGGATCTGATTGGTAATGCATTCATTGTTTAATAATATGCTATTTAGCCTCCATATATTTGAAAGTTTTTGAGTGTTTTTATTTACTTGATTTCTAGTTGTTTGCCATTATGATATGAAAAGATGATTGATACAATGTTCCTGAACTTATAGAGAGTTATTTTGTGTTCAACATGTGGTGTATATTTGAGAGTGTCCCATGTACACTTAAGATGAATGTATATTCTGCAGCTTTGACAATAAATGTTCTGTAAATGTCAATTAAATTATCTTATCTAGTGTGTCACTTAAGGTTGAAGTTTCATTTCTTATTTGTTTTTTTTTTTTGTTTTGTTTTGTTTTGTTGTTGTTTTTGGAGGGAGAACTATCCAGTGATGTTGGTGGGATGTTAAAGACACTTACAATGACTGTATAGGTATTGATCATTCACTTACAATGTTCTCCAAGAGTGTTTTTTAAAATAGTATATTTATGTGGTCCTAATTTGCTGCATACATGTTTGTCAGGATTATGTCCGCTTGTTAGATTGATCCTTTAGTATTATGTAGTGACTTTTTTATTTTTATTAAATTATTGTTCAGATTATTACAGTTGTTCCTCTTCCACCCTCCCATAGCTCCCCTCCACCCTGTTTCCACCCCACCCTCTGCCCTTACCTCCCCCTCTACTGTCCTCATTTATAGGTGATAGGTGTATGATTTTTATCCAGTCTCTTCCCACATACCTCTTTCCCTCTGAGGATTGTCAGTCCACTCCCTTTCTATGCCCCTGATTCTATTATATTCACCAGTTTATTCTGTTCTTCAGATTTTTTATTCACTTGATTTTTAGATTCACTTGTTGATAGATATGTATTAATTGCCCTCCCCTGCTGACCTGATCACCCCCAAAGGCTCTCCCCTGCAGGCCTGATCCCCCCCACCCCAACTGCCTTCCTCTGCAGGCCTGGTTTCCCCCCACCCCCCAACTGCCCTTCCCTGCAGTCCTGGTCCACCCCCAACTACCCTCTCCTGCAGGCCTTGTTCCTACCAACTGCCCTCCCCTGCAGGCCTGGTCACTCCCAACTGCCCTCCTCTGCATGCCTGGTCCCCCACAACAGCCCTCCTCTGCAGGCCTGGGTCCCCCACAACTGTCATCCTCTGCCAGCTATCTTGTGTTCACATGGGCAGCCTTCTTTTGCATTAGAGTAATGCTCAATTTGCATATTACCTCTTCATTATATAGGATTTTCCATACATTAAAATACCTTCCCACATAAACACAAACTAGAAGAATACGAAGGGACTATAAAGAAAACTTTTGGCTGAAACCAGTTTGGCTCAGTGGATAGAGCGTTGGCCTGCAGACTGAAGGGTCCCAGGTTTGATTCCGGTCAAGGGCCTGTACCTTGGTTTCGGGCACATCACCAGTAAGGGATGTGCAAGAGGCAGCTGATCGATGTCTCTCTCGTCGATGTTTCTAACTCTCTATCCCTCTCTCCTTCCTCTCTGTAAAAAATCAATAAAATATATATTTAAAAAAAAGAGAAAAGAAAACTTTTGCTTTCTCTCTACCTATGCAATCCAGTATTATATGAATTATTAATAAGATTTGTGAATTAATTTTATGATAATCAGTAACAATGATATTGTTTTGAAGTCACTCTTTTATAAAATTATAATATATACGATTAAACCTATTTTATTCAAGATTCTGTACTGTATTGGAGCCTTCCTAGGCTTACAAAGCTGATTCTATGCAACTTTTCCCAGCATGGCTACCAGTGACTTCACACTAAATTGAAATTGGCTATGATAGGATTATTTATACCATGAAAATTGACAAAAACACAGTCTGGTTTACTAAAACACCATTGATAGACTCAGAGAGATCTAATTATTTTTCCCTTTATCTCTCCTTCCTTGCCTCCTTCCTCCCTGTCTTTCCCTGTCTTTCTCTTTTCTTCCCTTCCTCAGACTTCTTAGATATGTTTTAGATATTTACTAGTTAGAATTTTATAGAATATATAAAATTCTATAGAATTTACAGTTAGCAAAGATAACAGATATTAAGCAATTGTATAAATAATTATTTAGATATGATAAATGCTAATAAAGGAGAAGAATAAATAGAAAGTGACATGAGAGTTTATTAAAGGGATATCTACTCTTGTCTGAGTTAGCAAAGACTTTGGGGTATTGTTGCTTGTTGTAATTAAATTTGGTTAGTCAATCTTTTAATTTATTATTTGGTATTTTACTCACTAACCAGAATATAATAGAGATGAATGTTCTTTACTATTTTTTTCTGGATGCTGATAAGTTTTTGTGTATGTGGATGCTGATACTTAAATGGAATAATCTGATCCTTGAACATTATCTGTTCTCCACATTTATTGTTGTCTGTAGAAGGCACTATGCATAAGTAACTCGACATGGATGGTAATATATTCATCGGCATTTTAAAAGTTCACAAGGAAGTAAAAGTGGGTTTAGTGGTTGATGTTTTTTAAATTATTTGACAAACTTTAGTGCTTTCTTATGTTACAGGAATTTATACGAAAATACTTTTCTCAGTTTGATCTCTCTAAGAATAGAAATCCCAAGCTTGTAAATTTTCAGATACATTTAGTTTTCTAGCTATTTTTTCTTCCCTCTCCTTGGCTCTAGAAGTTTTTTGTTTGTTTGTTTGTTTGTTTTTAATAATTATTTCCTCTTATAATCAGGCTCAGTCTCAGGGAGCAATTACATTTAAGATCATACCCAGCATCAAAGAGGAGACACCATGTAAAGAAGGCAAGGTATTATTACTTTAAAGTCTTTTCTGTGGAGGGTGCAAGGGCTGATGGGTTTTTCATCTAATACATATCTCCTTTGTCATGGCAAGTTTATTTTAATATTCTTTTTTTTCAATTGTTCTTAAATTAGAGTTAGAAGAATATTGAGTGTTTGATATTTTTTGTATTTATTCATTTTAAATAAAACTTTCTTCCAGATGTTTATCAAAGCCCTCTTTGACTATGACCCTAATGAGGATAAAGCCATTCCATGTAAGGAAGCTGGGCTTTCTTTCAAAAAGGGAGATATTCTTCAGATTATGAGCCAAGATGATGCAATGTGGTGGCAAGCGAAGCATGAAGGTGATGCCAATCCCAGGGCAGGCTTGATTCCTTCGAAGCACTTCCAGGAAAGGTGAGCTCCTGGCACGTAATGATGGCCTTTCTTCAGCTGACCTTTTGTTCTCTGCAAAATATCACTCAAGCATAGCTGTGATAAAATAAGCACTAAAATCTTGCCTTAGAGTCCTTTATCCCTCAGGTTTGGATTTCTGTTTTGTCTGAGTATGAATAATGACCAAAAATAATATGACAGTTCCAGATCATATTCGGTTTTTGTTATGAAGCAAATGGAAAATCACACATTAATATCTGAAACTGGATTGATGTGAAAGATGGCAAAAGTAAGAGTGATTTTGGAGTGGGAATAATTTATAAAAATTTGAAATTAGAGAATTCAGTTCTTAATTTGAATAAATTGCATTGTGTTCCTTTCCCCCTAACTTTCCAGCTTTTTCTTAAGACTTTTAATATTTTGTTGTTATATTAACCTGGATCTGCACTGAAAATTGATAGGCATATTAACCTTCTTTTCCTCCCAGGAGATTGGCTCTGAGACGACCAGAAATAATAGTTCAGCCCCTCAAAGTTTCCAACAGGAAATCATGTAAGTTTGTTAATAAGAATGCAGACTAACCAAATCTTGGTGTTTATTTTTTACTATTGAAGCAAGTATTTGTGATAGAATGACAGGTCATATTACCTTCTGATAGTTTTTGGATCTATATTTTAAATAGATTAGAGTGAATCTTTTGAAGAAAGGGGTGTTAGGAGTAATTTCTAATAAATCCATGGCTCTTTAAGAAAAGGACTAGTAACTACAGCTCTTTTGAATTCTGGATTTAAGTATTTTATTTCTCCAAAGCCAGGAGGTTTGGGTAAGATATTTCTTGGTAAAGATTAAGGGGGAAAATTCACCACATTCTTGGACACAAAAGCAGTTGTGCCTAAGAACAATTAATTGTTCTTCCTCTTAGTTACCCAGAAATCCTAGTAACTCTGATCTTTTATTTGTCTGTTTGGAATTATTACCAGAATAGATTAGAATAAAATAAGAGTAAGAAAAAAAATGACATAAGATAACTGAAAAATATAGTGTAGATTTAGGTGCCTTTTTTTTTTTTCAGCTCACCTTTCTCTCACTTTCCTTTACTTCCCATCCCTCAAGTCCCCCATCCCATAAATTTTCTACTTCTTCTCTTCTAAATGTTTAAGGCATTTTAAGAGTTTAAAAAAATCCCTTTGTTTTCAGCATGGAAATTGTACATTAAAGGGCAAAATGAAAAAATAAATGGTCCTAGAATTTTATACCAACATCTGTTTTTAGTATTGTTGCATTTTTCACATCTCCTGTTATATCTGTCAGTTTGTAGAAGCTTATAGCCCAGGAATTACATCATTAGAGAGCCAAACTACAGTCAGTATAAATCTCCCAAGCAAGCAAATACTTCAAGTGCAGCACTAATTCAAAAGCCTGCTTGTTCTTGCTCTGCCTAGTCTGGGCAGAAAGGGGAAAAAGCAAGCAAACAAACAAAAAACCTAAAAAACTTATAGAATGTCACATGTACTGTGACATCAGAAACTGAAAGTTGAACAGGAACAATGCATTATTTTAAAGTGTGATGAATTTTCACTGACAGCTCTCTAGTTGAAAGGACCTTTGAGACATCCATCTCACTTGCTCTATGAGGAGTTTAAATTTGGGGTCTGCACATTTCTAATATATCTGGTGCATGTGAGAATAAAATATATCTCTCTTAAAAAAGAAATTAATGTGATTCTCTTTGAATCTGAATCCATACTCAAGTTAGTATAATTTGATATAATTAGAAATTTTCATTTATTTAAAAATGTTGATAAATATTTCTTTAAAGAACTATGTAAGTTGAATAGGTTGTCTTTATAATACATTTCCCAGACTGGTTTCAGTATAGATGTGCACAAATGTGAAGTGGGGAATGTGAGTGTATGTTTAAGCAATAATTGTAATGGAGGCTTTTTCTGTGTTAATTTGTGTAATTTTTTATGTTACTACTTCATTATTTGAATTTGAGAAATATTTATTTGAGGATTTATTTTTACTGAAATGTCCTCATTTAGATGTTTTAATATTTCTCTCTCTCTCTCTCTCTCTCTTTTTGCCTCTTTAGTATTATATAAAAATACTTATCCTCCTTTCACCTTCCTTCCTTATGTTTTTTTTTTCTTTTCTTTCTCTTTACCTCTTTTTTTAAAAATTTTTATTAAATTCTGATTCACTGAAAAAATGCATTGTTTATTTTCATTAATGGATATTATTTATTTTGAATAGAAATAAACCTGGCCAATATTACCTCAGTTAAATCATGAGTATACTATATATATATATATATATATATATATATATATATATATATAGAGAGAGAGAGAGAGAGAGAGAGAGAGAGAGAGAGCCATGTTCATAGATAGTATATTTTTATGAAAACTAAGTAGAAAGCTAATAACTTTATTCTAAAATAATTAAAATTCAATTTTATAAGCATTTTTAGTGCAGACCCCAATAGATATTGCCAAATTACCCTCAGTGAGATTGTACTAGGTAACAATACCATCCACAGTGGATGGCCATCATTAATTAATTCATTCATTCATTCATTCAAATGGCTTGCCATTGGCCAGTTGGGGCAGAGGGTACATGATCAGTCCCTCTGCAACTCCCAGGGGCTTAAAATCTTATTATTACAGACTAGATTAAAATAGTTAACAGTCTTCATTGTTTCTTTTCTTTCCTGTCTCATCTTCTTTAGCATCAACAAACCAGCATGAATAAATACAGTGTTTCAGAACAGTGTCTGATATAATTCACATAAAATACATGTTTTAACGCGTACCACCAGTGGTTTTCAGTATACTTACAAGCTTCTGCAACCATCACTATTATTTAGTTCTAGGACATTTCCACCACCCCCAAAAGTAACCCTATTAGCAGTCACTTTCCATGATTTCTTGCCTCTAGCCCATGGAAAACATTAATCTATTTTCTGCCTCTATGAATTTGCCTATTCTGGACATTTCATACAGATGGAATCATATAATGTATGACTTTTTATAACTGACTTTTTTCATTTAGCGTAATGTGTCCAAGGTTCATTCATATTGTAGCATGGGTCAGTGCTTAATTTCTTTTTATGTCTGAACAATATTCCAGTGTATGGCTTGGATCTTTCACACTTAGTTTAAGCATTCACCAGTTGATGAGCATTTGGGTTGTTTACATCTTTTGGCTATTAGGAACAATGCTGCTATGAACATTCATATTTGACTTTTTTGTGAGGACACATGCTTTATTTCTCACGGGTACATACCTACAATGCCCTAACAAAGTTATACATGGTAACTATATGTTTAACTTTTTGAGAAATTGCCAAACTGTTTTCCACAGCAACTGCACCATGTTACATTTCATCAGCAACGTATGAGGGGTTCCAACTTCTCCACATCCCTGTCAACACTTGTTATTGTTTGTCTTTTTTATTATAGCCATCAGTATGGGTGTGAAGTAGGATCTTACCGTGTGTTTTTTTTACTTTATTTTTATTGTTGATACTATTGCAGATGTCCCTATTTTGCCCACCTCCACCAAGCCCTTTCCCCCTTCCCTCTGGCCACCACCACACTGTTGTTTATGCATATGTGTTCTCTGGCTAATCTTCATTTGAAATTTTTGTTGTTGTTGTATGAGAAACCATTAAACTCAAAAGTTATGCAATACTCATGGTACTGATTCTGAACATTTTAAAAGGCATTTAAAAGCACTGTGTTTTGTAACCTGTGTATTTGATAGTGATATAACTAAATTTTGTAAAGGCCATCTGACTCAACACTTCCCAGACTCCAACATTTAGCCCTTATTTGGAATAAGACATTCATGTCATCATGCCCTGGGTTAAATTATAGAATAAGGCTATGAATAAAAATAAAGATGATATAAAATCTTCTATTTTTCTTACTCTAATAATTCATGAAATAGGTTTTTAAAAAATATACAATTTAATGCAAAATGTCTAAAAATAATTTTGTCATGTTGGTGTTTACACATTTATGAAAAAAATATTCATGTTGATAAAAAATATTTTAAGTGTATTTAAAATCTAGGAAGATATTGGTAGGTGTAGAATTTAGAATAATGACTTCAGTGAGGTAATAGTGTATATCAAATTGGGCAGTTAACACTTCACAAATGGTTTCCTGTATTACTATGATTTTACCCTTTATTTCATTTCACGGTGTATCGTTGTAACTAAAGTTTGCATGGAGAAAAAGTTCATAGATGAGGGCTCGGCACTATAGGGGTTCAGTTGATGTCAATATAGAAGTGAAAAGGACTAAAGAATCCTACTCCTTGGATTTTTTTGTTTATATTTTTTCATTTATATTTGTTCCGGAGTGCTGGCTCCTGGCTCCATGATAAATTAAATCTGGATCTGAGGTAATGCCAACCTTAACACTACCATCCTTATGCAAAGCTTTTAAGTGTGGGTGATGTTCATCTTTGCTGCGTGGTTATTTCCTCTCCTTATCTAATACACACCCAGAAAATAGACTTCTTAAACAAACTCATTTTCCTTTTAAAGATGAAACATACTAGTACCTAACTAAAAACTAAAACTTGAACTCTTAAGTCAAACATTCCTAAATCTTAGAGGCTTGATATAGGGACTCATCTACTCTTCCTCCTCTTGTTTTTTGGTTGTTTTTGTTTTTTGAAGAATTGTTTACTTAAAGAAATTATTAATAGAATCCTGTGCTCCCTTCTTCCTGCCTTCATCTAATGATAGGCTCACACGTGGTAGATTTATATTAGTAATGGAGACAGAAGAGCAGACCCAGAACTCTGATAGGTTTTTTATGACCATCTTTTAGATTGTTATATGAAAGACACAAGTTAAGTGTTTTTGAAAATGAGTAACAGTGTATTTTATGTCTTATGTAGCAAATAGGAATGGTTTTCATCACAACTTGGTAACTTGCAATTCTTGTGTCGATATAAAGTATTCTGATTTTCTGCTAAAAGCTTATTTTTATAATTCAGTTGCATTTATAAAGCAGTATTATATCACCTAATCTTTAAAAAGAAATATGAATTTCTTTAACTACTTGAAATATATTTCCATTCCATTGAAATTGAAGTATTTAAGTTAAAAATAGTCTTCCTACTAGCATAAATATTAATGCAACTTTAACTTCAATAGGCTATAATTTACATTTAAATCCAGTTGTATGGTATTCAGAAAAGGCTCTTATTCATATAGCAAGATATTCAGATAGTCCCTATATCAAGCTTCTAAAATTTAGAAGTGTTCGATTTAAGAGTTTAAGTTTTAGTTTTTAGTTAGGTACGAGTTTTGCCCACATAGATATTTATACTACTTAGCTTTCATTTTTAGTTATTAAGATACAAATATCTGAAAATTTCTAACACTGCTGATTTCATATCATGTGGGTAAAAAAGATCTTTAACTGCTGCCAACAGTCATCCATTCAAAGACAAGCATTTTGTGGATTGAAGATCACAATTTACCAACAACCGAATTTAAACATTGACTAAACAAATGAGTTCCAATATCC